AAGATAATATACGTGATGATTTACACCATGCATGTATTCTTATCTACAAAATGCAAATTCTATCAATGTATCATTTATTATGGACAACATATTGGCAGTCAGGTCTTGGTCAATTGATTAAACAAACACCGGAACAACAACAACAACAAAATTATGTAGTCTATTCAATGAATATTAGGTTTTGGCCTAAAGAAATTAAACAAAATATAGATACTTCTACAAGTTCAATGGATTTAGTTTGTTATCATAGACAAGAACTTGAAAGACAATTAAGACAAATACAAATTGAATGGAATGAAAAAGTCAATCATTTCTCTGGTTATAATTTAAAAGTTGAACAATTATTAAAAGATTATATTATTCAAAATTTATTTGAATTTCAAAAAGAAATAGAACATAAAATAGAACTTGTTACATATGATTATCAAATAGAAGCTATCAAACAAGAATTTAATCGTCAAAATTCAACTGAATATCAAGTATGTGTATAATTATTTGAATGAATAATTTATTATGATAGGATTGTTTTCGTTTAGAAAAAACTCATGAAACAATTATGTCTAAAAAGAGACGAAAAAGAAACAACAGAACAAGAATTAAAATTCCTACAAGAACGTATCGATCATTTTAATGCACCGGATCAATCATTTGAACATTCAGCTATAATCGATTCTATTGAAAATATTGAAATACGACAACAATTACAACAACAATATCGAAAAATAATTCAACAAGCCAAAGCTGATTTTTATATGTTAAGTTTACAAACAGCTGAAGAACAACGAACTAGAGCTAGATTGAATTATGACAATGAAGTTAATAAAATGTATTCCATTCATCATAATGCATTTGATTTCACCATATTACCATTAAAAATGATCGATTTAATTCAAGAACGTTGTCGAATGATAGGTGAACGTATTCAATCGGTTTATAATTATAAGATTGAATGTTTTCATTTGAAATTACAAAAAGACTAAAAGATAAATCTTTAATTCAATAGAAGTCATGTTTTTTTTCTCATATTTATTCGAATATTTATCAAACCTTTTTTTTTGTAGTGTTATTCATTCAATTTATTCATAGCTGATCTATTTGTTTTCGTTTTAGATAAACTTTTCGATATAGTTACGAAGAAAATAATGTTCAAGAACAATAAACTTGATGATTATCTTGGTATTTATCCAACTACTCGAGAATATCAACTTTGGATGTTGAATCCATATGATAAAAAAGGTTTGATAAATAT